GCCTGCCAACTTATTACTAATAATTAGGTCTATCAAGAAATCCTTATCATGTTGGAGCAAACAAAATGCTAATGTGCTGGAACAGTTAAAGAAATCTTAATTTTCTTAAATAGAACAATTGTTTGAATTCAAATTACAAAATAGTTTCTTAATTATTGTGGTAATTTTTTGTTATTACTGGTTCAGGACCACTTGTTTTTAGTTAGATTAAGTATGACCAAGGCTTCTTTAATGCTTTCCAGAAAGCCATATTGCATATTGCACAAAATGCCACAGAGCAAATCAAGAAGTCTGCTCCAAGAAGAAGACAGCACTGCTCAGATGTTTCTTCTCCTGACAAAAGCAGAACTGATCTCATGAATTGTACTAGTTTTGACTGGGGTAGAGTTAAATTTCTTCCCAGTGGCTGGTATGGGGCTGTGTTTTGGATTTGTGCTGAACACAGGTTGATAATACAGAGACATTTCTGTTATTGCTAAGCTGGGCTTCCACAGAGGCAAGGTCTGCTGAGTGATCTCTATTTTTGCAATCTACCTCACAAAGTTAACACAGTGATGCCTCCCTTCCCTTCTGGGATCTACTCTCCTTTTCATGCTCTGGTATGTTCAGACTGTTAGAGTTAAGAATCTTTCTTCTAAACTAGCTCTTCCACTATAATACAAATCTATGATCTCTAATTTTTTTCACTAGTGCTGTGAAACCATGTTTTCAGATTTGTTAATTTTTACATTTTTGTATAAACCACACTATATATTTGTGTTCTATAGTATGGAGCTAAGGCTAATAACACCAAATAAATCCCCGGCTACTCTTGCAATAGATGTGTAAGATTTGTGGTATCTTTAAACCATTCACTGCAGATTTTGACCCCTTAATTCAGCCAATCCTTCTTTAGACCGCAATGCGTTGCTACAGCACCAATCTGAGACCAAAAGCCAATGTGATCCCTTACTTTTGAACTCTGTAGTATAAATCAGTTGCATACAGGCTGCAGAGACATTATTGTGAACACATTTTACATTGCAAAAAAGTATCTTTACAATGACAAGGAACTTTTCAATATAGTTCAAGAAAAATAGTCATAAAGTTTAAAATCCATCTGAATCTTCAAATGTTACAATTATGTAACAAAGATAAAAATTGCAAATTTTAATTTAAAAAAATTACTCCCTACTTTTCAACTTGTTCTTTTAACTTTAGTTAAAAATGGCACAATAAAAAAGTTTTTATTTTAATATGGATAGCTGATACAGTTTAGGTTAAATTTAATTTTGGGAAGGTTTTGAAAAAGTGTTAATTTAATTTTCCTAAGCTTTTCCTCTTGTTCTGCTATTCTGTCAAACATTTATTGTAAAATCTATACACAGAGATTTTGTTTCACTAGGATACAATGCTCTATGAGATCACTGATATGTCCCGAACTTATTTTCAGTAAAAATATATAGGCTGTCTTTATTTTGCTTCTCCTTTGCTTTCTATATCATAGTCACTGAAAGACAGAAACAAAACAGAGAAAACTATTTTGATTTGTTTATGCTAGGCAGATTGAAAAGCAAGTTGATCTTTGCTTTTTAGGTGGAAAAAAATTAAATGCTAAAGTGTTGTAATACGATCCCTGAGAAGTTGCACACCTTTGTATAATTCTTGGTTCTTGACTGTCAAACACAAATGTGCTTTGAGCAGGTTAGAATCAATCCTGTTATAGCTGGCCTTCTCCTATTTGGTATACCATATATCTTCTATAAATTGCATATTTGAGGTACAGGGTGAGAAGCACTTTATTTGAAAGTCTAAGTTTAGACTCCTCTGTGTGGGATTCCTTATTTTTTGATATAGTTTTCACTATGACCACAAGATTTATCTGACACTTGAAAGTCTAGGAATTAATGTCTTTTCTTTTTTTTTAGAACTGTAATTTCAGCCTTATAACTCATTGCAGTATTTAAACATGCATGGCTTTTAATTAAAACAAACTTTCATATATTCATTTGCACCTAAAAGTGGTCTTACTGATGTCATTGGCACTACTCAGCTATATTATTTAAGAGCACATGTCCACATACATAGAGACTTTTAAATTAGATTTTGCTTTCTCATAAATATTGAATCATAGAAAAGCCCAGAAGGGCTCTCAAAAGATCATCTACAGTTAATGTCCCAGGAGCTTCATTCTCAGTTGCTTTTTCATAAATACCTTCACGTTCATTAATTTCCCTTAAGTCATGTCTTACATCTTACTCCATTTTTCCTACATGTAGCCTTGAGGCTATGTTATGGTTTGACATAGAAGTGAATTTCAAATCCTACAAACAGGTAGGGTTTGAAATTCACATCAAACCTTAACAGGCTATCTGCCAAAATCCTCGAATTCACAGTAATGTACACCTGTAGCAAAGCTACAAAGTTACCTACAGAACAGACAGGTATAGATTCATAGAATTAAGGAAGGGGGAAAGGTTATGGCTTCAGGATTATGTGAAGTTGGGAAATTTTTATAATTTATTTTCAACTAGTATTACTTTTAGAAATGTGCGGGGTTTTTAAGAATAAGATTAAAGAAGTGAAAATGTGGTATTTTCTGCCACCACAATGAGCAATGGTAAGCAATTATAGCAGAGGAGTGGCATGGCCAGGACAAATAATTCAGCAATATTTCCTACATAACCCAATAAAAATCTGGAAACATTCGAGATAGAAGGATATTTCAGCAGACTAATTACATTAGGTCCTCATTGATTTATAGGAGCTATTTTTCATAAGCATACCTTCAATTTTAATGACCGTTCTGAACTGTCCTACTTCTGCTCAAGGCCTGCAGCTTTAACCAGTCTGGTGTAAATGGTTAATTTAGTATCTATCCTCCCCACTCCATTATTGTAGATGCTAATAAGGATATGGAATAGAGTTAAATATTGAAAATATTGCATTGGACCACCTTGAAAGAGTTCTATAGTCATTCACAACTACTCCTTCAGGGGCTTCTCTCTTTTTTTGGCACATATTTGTAGAAGTTTTTATTCTCTCCTGAGAAGTCTCATTCTGACAAATCATATAAATAACCAACACCGTGATTCTACCAATCACTTCTCATATACACATCTATTTCCATCAGAATCTTGTAATATTTGGTGGAATAAGTGTTATTACAGATTTTATTAGCCTTCCTGTTTATGGTCAATGCTTTGGAACAGTAAGCCTTGTAAAAGACACTGGTTAGAAAGAGATCAATACTTGAACATGATATATAGAGACCAGAAAAACTCCACCTATGGATTTAGCAGGCTGGTAGGAAGAGACAAGTGTAAAAAAATGTAGGAAATTTTTGCAGGTGATCACTACTGAATGAAGCATTTGAGTACAGGTTCTGTTTTAAATCTGTCAGTTGCTAAAGCAATACAGAAATTATCAGAATATTAATATCTACTATTGTAAGCATTCTTTTGTCATACTCGTGAGGATAATATGTCAAATAGTTCCATTCTTGTCTTGTTTCTCAATATAAAATATTTTGGAAATTTTAAGCTAAACCCTTTTTATTAAAATAAATAAAGTGATAACCAATTACTATCTGAAGCATTTAATCAAAAATAGATCCCTACTTGAATATATAACATTGATTTCACAGAATCATTTAGATTGGAAAAACCTCCAAGATCACCAAGTCCAACCTCTGACCAAGCATTGCCTTGTCAACCAGATCATGGCACCAAATGCCATGTCCAGCTGTTTCTTAGCACTTCTGGTGATGGTGACTCCACCACCTCCTGGGGCAACCCATTCAAATGTTTACCAGCCCTTTCTGTGGATAAATTCTTCCTGATGTTAAACCTAAACTTCCTCTGGCACAGTGTAAGGCCATTTCCTCTTGTCCTATTTCTAGTTGCTGGGAGAAGAGGCTGACTGACCCTCACCTGGCTACAGCCTCCTTTCAGGCAGTTGTAGAGAGTGCTTTTTTTTCCCAGGCTAAACACCCCCATCTCTCTCAGATGCTCCTCGTAGGACTTGCCCTCCAGACCTTTTACCAGCCTCATTGCCCTTCTCTGGACGTGCTCCAGCACCTCAGTGCCCTTCCCAAAGTGAGGGGTCCAATGCTGAACAAAGTTTGAGGTGTGGCCTCACTAATGCTGAGTACACGGGGACAATCACTGCCCTGGTCTTGCTGGCCACTTTATTGCTGATCCAGACCAGGATGCCATTGGCCTTCCTGGCTGCATGGGCACATTCCCAGCTCAAGTTCAGATGCTGTTGACCAGTAACCCCAGGTCCTTTTCTGCTGGGCAGCCTTCAGCCACTCTTCCCCAAGCATGTAATGCTGCCTGGGGTTGTAGTGGCTGAAGTGCAGGAACTGATGCTTGGCCTTATTGAACGTCATGCTGTTGGCTTTGGCCCATCAATCCAGTCTCTCCAGATGCCTCTGCAGAGCCCTCCTCCCCTCCAGCAGATCAACACTCTCCTAACTTGGTGCTGTCTGTGAATTTACTAAAGGTGCACTTGGTCTCATCATCCTGATCATCACTAGAGATATTGAACAGGTCTAGACCCAACACTAATCCCTGGGGTCACCTCTAGAGACTGGTCACCAACCAGATGTGGCACCGTTCACCACCGCTCTCTGGGCCTGGTCATCCAACCAGTTCTTAACACAGCAAAGATGCACCTGTGCAAGCTGTGGGCTGACAGCTTTTCCAGGAGAATACCATGGGAGACAGTACCAAAAGCTTTGCTTATGTCCAGGCAGACAACATCCACAGCCTTACCCTCACCCACCAGGTGGGTCACCTGCTCATAAATGGAGACCAGGTTAGTCAGGCAGGATCTGCCTCTCCTAAACCTGTGTTGCCTGGGCCTGATCCTTTGGTTGTCCTGTTTGTGCTGTGTGATTGCACTCCAGATCCTCTATTCCATAACTTTGTGGGCCACTGAGGTTAACCTGACAGGCCTGGACTTCTCTGGATCCTTCTTCCAGCCCTCTTTCTTTGAGGGTCAGAAAAGTGTTTTACCTTTGCACAGGAAAGGCTGATAACATGTTGATCTTTTTCATTTGTCACAATTTCCACAATACTATGTTTGTGTCCTAATAGCTTCCCCATAGGACTAAAGTTAACAACAGGATTCCACAACCGAAGGATTCTGTCATTACCTAAAAGGAAAAAAAAATTATATATAGTCAGAAAGATTGAATAGCCACTTGTATTACAATTAAGCTTTGTAATTGAGAGCTTAGTGTTCTTAAGTTTGTCCTTTCATTTGGGTAGACTACTCCCACATAAGGATGTGAATTTTTCATTCTAAGGGCTGGATTGCAGCTTAGGTTTCATTACTTAACCACAAACACATACTAAAAATGAACAATTGATTAGCTTTTCAAAGCCTTTTTATTTTGCTAAAGGAATGGCAGGGACACTGAATGAGACTACATGGACTAATCCCAGAGAAGCAGTGTACTTTAACAGAAATACAACTGGGGCTCATATTTTGTTTCCTTCAATGATGTAATTTAGAAAAATTAAAAAAAAAAAAAATTGTGCCCAGATAGCCAGGACAAAAAAAGACAACTTCCTTTATGGAAGAAGGTGAATATGCAGAAATAAGTGGGCATTAAAGTTGAGGGCAGACAGAAAATATAACCGCTGATGATTTAGTTTGTAGTAACGTAAATGAGAATTAGGTATTTAATACTTATTTCTATGTTCAAACTTTGAATTTGCCTACAATCTTTGATTATGTTTTAGGTGACTATTTGGTACTATTTTGCTAATAGTTTCCATAAATATTTCAAAACCCAAGGATGTTAAAAATGTATTTTAACTTTCAATTCCTGGCAAATATTGCAATTGAATGAATTGTATGCATCTAGCTGAACAGTTTATTTTGACACACAATAAATGAAACAGCCACATTTTGTCTAAACTTCTGCTTGAGTTCTACTTTTTACTCAGATTAAATTGAAGAGCAAAAAGCAAAAATACCCCATAGACTAGGAAGTATATGTCTCAAGAGAACCAGCTCAATTATGTTAAGCACTCAGCTCAATTATGTTAATAATCTTCCTTAAGCTTTTTCAACCTGCTGTCATTAGTCAGTCCCTCCATTTCTCTCTACAGAAATCTATTCCTTTCCTTCTTAGCATCAAGATGTTATTTGTTTAGGAGCATCCCATCTTCCTTTTCCTCCATTAAGCAATATTGTTCTCTCAGTTAAATCGATTCCACTGTTTATGTGGCTTCTCTCTAAATGAGAGAAGCTCACTGAAGGAAGGATCTACTCTTAAAATAGCTACAACAGAAAGCCATTTTGAGTTCACAAGTGTGAAATCAAGCTCATTTCACAAGTGTGGCTGAGAATTCAACTATGCAAACAACTGTATAGCATAGTGGAGGGAGAACTTCTGCACAGGAAAGGAAGGCTTTGGTAGCTGACTGGCTTGAAACTTCAAGAGATTCTTTTTTAGGCAAAACTACCCTAGACGATCTGTATATGCTATAAGCATGGCAGGAAGTAGCCTAAACAGGTTATAATTGCACAGATGGCTTATGAAGCCCTTTTGGATGGGGAAACTCCAGAATGTGGTCGATGGCTCTGCTCACTTCCTCAGAGTTTGTGTTAGGCTGACCTAGACATGTCCTGCAAGTTAGCAGAACCCTTGTGACCAGGTCAGGGTTTAGGGTGAAACAAGTCCATGGGAGTAAAACTCAGCTTGCAGACCTTCCATGAAGGAGAACATGAAATACAGTTGACAGAAGCCTCCAGTGAGACTGGTGAGATTGGTTTTAATATCAGAGGGAACAGACATTGCTTCTACAATAAACCCTTACCAGCCTCAGAAACTGTCATGTCTTAAGATGATGGAGAACTGGGAAGAATGTGTTGACAATATCTGATCAACTTGACTACCTGCTTGCTGCACTTTTGAGGAACAGAACCTTTCTTGGTCTTCCTAACTGCTCTGTTCTTTATATTCCTGGAGTGACAGCAGCGATTGAAGGGAAGGATAGTGCCCTTTAATTCTGACAGAGTTTTTTTTAAGAACAGACTCACTAATACGTGTAATTTACTTCAGATATTAACAAGAAGATCAAGTGACATTTGGGAAGAAAACCTTTCCCTACACTAAGAAATACTGTTTGCTTTATATATGAAGTAGTGGATTCATTTTAGTTCCTTTTACTGATGTGGAAATAATGGTAGATTTTATTATAGTAGATGTTCTTTCTTCTCTCTTTCTGGACTAATGTCAGATTGGCCGTAACATTCACTGCTATACTGGAACATTTCCTGGAACATTTGTTCTCTCCATGCTCCAAATATGCCTCCAGGATTCAGAATCCTGGACAGAAAGTCTGGGTACCAAGCATATTCAAGAAAAGATTGAAGAAGATGATCTATTCAACAGCAATTTTTAAAGATTTTGTGAAATCTGTGATTTGAATCAAAACAGATTCAGTTGTGTATGGTTCCTTTTCATGATAAATAATTATAAAACCAGATGTTCAGAGTTTTTTTAGAAGTCAGATTCTACAACCACAGCTCTATTCTAGCTAGATGTTATGGACTCAAATACCATCTTTGAACATGTGATGCTTTGTCAACTGTCTCTCTTGCTGACACAGTTTTGCAATTTGTGTGGTATTATAAGCCTGATGAGATGTCTGCATTTCAGTGGTGTTGAAATCCACTTGAGAACAATGCCATATTTGAATGGAGAAATACCAGACTTAGCCTGGCATCCTCAAAAGACTGTAAATGAAAACTATACCTGCTGGTTTCTTTCTAGGCTGCTACTCCCACACAGAAAACTCCTTACCCTTTAAAAGAACTTGTCTTTCCTTCAAATATGTCTTTTAAATAATCTTGCCTGATAGTGTCTGCAAAACCTCTTCAGAACAGCCAGACATCTGGGGAACTAGTTTGTCATACTGACAAATGTCTCTGTTTTATTTTTTTTCTTTGTGCTTCCTTGTCTGTCCTTGAATGCGCTTCTTAAATTTAGATGGCACCATAGAAAAGAGTTTGCTAGGCTTCTGTCACTTAATGCTAGAGGACTTCTGGTGATTTCTATCACTGGGATTCCTGGGAATTTCTGAAAATGTGCTTCACTTATTCCAGGAATTCACAAAGGAAACTGAACAAGCACAGAGTAGCTCCTTTTATCAGTCTTAATCTGTTACTGTTAGATTTAGAAATCACTAATAATTTTTCTTCTGTTTCATTGCTCCCAGGAAAACAACAGCCAGATTTGAAGAACTAATAGGGTTAGAAGTTGATGTATCATTTAAAACTGATTAGCTCCTGCTTTTATATGCATTCCTAATTTGATTTTAACTGCAGTCATTCCCTGAAGTGATGATTAAGATACAGCTGGAATTGAAATTAATACAGAATAAGAAGAACACCATGCAGATTTACCATTCAGTGTAATATTAATGCAAAATGCTAGACAGAGAAGTTATTTTAAACTTCTTCGGGCTCCATATTTTAGGCCGCTATCAGGCTTTTATCATTTTACTGTTTGAAATCTAGCCTTAAGCATGAAAAGCAAACCTAGTACCAAGTTTGTTTTTCTCTTATTAATTTTTATAAGTTTCAAATATCTACAAGACAAATTTAGGTTGTGTCACAGTACTGACAAACTTGTGAGCATACTCAAATACAAGTAAATTATGGAAGACTGTGTTAAAATATTACTTTTTAAATAGTCACAATGATAATACATCACAGTATGTAACATTCCATTTGTGCTATAAACTCCTGCCTAAAAAACATTAAGCTGCGGCTTACTAAAATGTTTAGCAGATTTCCCCTGCTGAATACTTTAGAAGCTAGCCTGCAGTCAAAGGCTGGATTTTTCTTTTATGTTAATTGCCAAACGAGCTTTTACAAATGTTTGAACATGTCACCAAGAAATCTGTATATTATGATTCCTGAATTATTTACCTGTTATGGTCTCTCATTTTTAGTTTATATAACAGGTAAAATTGCAGGCTCCCTAATTAACAGGACTACCTTATGTTCATTTTAACTAGTTTAAATCTGTCATTAATTGGAGCATCAATGCGTGTTCCTCAATTAGTCAAAAGTGAGATGACTTTTAAGAGGCAAACATGGTGTGCTCCAGCCTGATGGTATGCTGTGCCATTGTGTGCAGTGTATTCTATTAACAGAGCACAGAATTCTAAAGCTCAGTTTTTTAAGGCTTTAGTAGAGGGGTCTCTCAAGACCTCTAGCATTATTCTAAATTTTGGGTGTATGTTCACAGTAGGCCCTGACTGATCTAACTTCACAGTGAAATTGAAAGAGATGACCCCACCCTGTCTTTGGACAGGCATTTCCACTGTGCTTTGGGATTCTTAGTAATACAGCTCAGGAATAATTTCCTTTCATATTCAAGGAGAGCGGCAGGGCTAAGCTTTGGGAATGAGGGTGAGAGGCAGGAGGATGCCCCAAGATGAAGGATGGTGGGTGAACAAGCAAGACAGAATTCCAACTCAATCTCAAAACTCATCTGCTTCTAAAATATCCTGATTAGGGATTTGTTTAGATGGGATAGGAGCTCCTGCATTCTAAGTCTGTTCTCCAACCATCACAAACAAGTATGCAATCTAACCTTTTCAAAAATCCAAGCTCCATTTAAAATGGAGAATATTTTTCTGCAACTGCCACTATTCAGAAGACTCTTCCTGAATATCACTGCTCTAATTTTTGCTCTAATAGATATCAGTGGCATTCCTTGTTAATTGTAATTTTTCTAGGTTATAGAAAATACACTTTTTAAATCTCTGCACAATGGTGCAGTTACAGCTTAGGTCTGTTGGTTAGATCCTGCTGCTATAGACACCAAGATTGTGAGTTCAATCACTTTATGGGCCATTCACTTAAGAGTTGGACCTGATGATTGTTATGGGTCCCTTTCCCCACCCTTTTTCTATATTCTACATACTTTTCTATATTGAACTAATCTTTCTCAAATGTGGTTCATATCAGCAAGACAGAACCAGCACCAGCACATGCACCTGGGCAAGTAATGATGCATGATTATCCTATTTCTTTTCTGTACCACAAGTGTTTACTGCTGGTCACTGACAAAGTGGGCTGAGTGCATTAGGAAGACCTTTGGTCTGGCCTTCTACAGCTATCATAGTTTTCTTAGAAAGTTTATCCAGATTTTTCTCTTCTGCTATTTCTGGAAGAAGAATTTCCAGTGTGTAAAAGAAACTCTTTCTAGTTCCTGTGACATTTTTTCCTATTCAGACACGTTACCCTGGTTTTATTACTACAGCAAAATCCTCCTGTTGTACCTGTAGGAAATAGTGACCACATTTTGTTAAATAGGACCTCCCTACTTTGTGTCATCAACAAATTTCTCCAGACTACTTTTTTTTTGTGACACGGTAATCAGTGTAAGCAGCATCTCCTCCAAAGTTAAACTTCAAAATTTACTAATAACTCTTCTACAGCTTTTCCTTTAAATCTTTTGTCTAGAAAATCAATAGAACTGCCTGATATTTATTTTGATATCTTTCACAGTCTTCCTATTGGTAAACTGTTACAATTCAATATGTATCGCATTGTGTCCCATATACTGCCATGTATATTAGACTGCCATGTATATTATCAAGGCTGGACAGCAGAGTCTTGGCCATTTTTTAGTACTACTTTTGTATATAGATGTAAGAATTCTTATGTTTGCTATTGCGATTTTTAACCAAGTTTTAAGCAAAAAAGACTTGAAGAAAAGCAGCATCAATGTCACTCAAGGGCACCAGCCTATCAGACAATATATAAACAAGATTACTTCCATACTCCAGTGCTTTTCTGCAGCATCAAACATGATCACTGCAGTAGACAGGCCCATAAAATTATTGGCTAACAGGGGAAAAGTGTATGTAAGAGTGCCATTTCTGCAGTCTGCTTTGGGAGAAAGAACCAGCAGTAACACTTTGGGGAAATATGACCAGAGAGACCAATTGAAATTAATAAAATGGGCCAATGTGACTGCTTAAGATATGAAAGGATGGTGGGAGAGTAATAGGGTGGAAGCTCTGCCGATACTGCAAGGAATAATGTGTATAACCAGGTCAAGGCCACAGTGACTTGGAAAGATACATTACAGTAGTTGAACATACTGTTTCTTCTGGTTTATTATATAAACGATACTTGAATCAAACCCAGATGGAGCCCTTGACAGATTCCTGTCAGGAAGTATGTCTCTTCAGACAAGGGCTGAGAGAAATTAAAAACAAGGCCTCTGTTTACTCTAATTGTTGGCAGAAGCCAGCCATTATTGAAATTCTTAAGATGTTAACTCAGCTTTATTTGATATTATTTAACTAAAATAAAAAAATTCACAATTTTTTTCTAGAACAATCTCTTGGAAAAAACCCAATACTTACCTCCAGTGACAATGACTTTTGCCTTTCCACAGTATGTGAAGGCATTTACTCCTTTAGGGACAGAAAATTCCTTTACAGGTCTGCAATAATTAATAAAATAATCACGTGAGAAATATTCAGAAAATCCCATCTACAGTCATTATTTTTCTGCAGTATACAGAATAGCTGTTTGCATAATGTATGCAACCTCATGATAAAAGCAAATTGATTTATAACAGAAACTTAGAGTGATCCTGGCATCAACGAAACAGGAACAGAGTGCACTTTCCATTGAAGAAATAAATATCCGATCTGCACACCTGAATCTTTTAACAGGCAAACTCCAAACAGACTCCTAAAACGGTAGCTCTTGGCAAAGTAAGCTGCACATAAGCTTGTGTGCTTAAAGCAGTTTATCACTGAGGAAAATTACCAAAGAAACTGTGTTTGCTTGTTTCAGACATGAAGGTCTGCTGTGATCTCAATGGTACATTAAGTAAGCACAGTTACTTTACTGTTGCTTCTCTATAATGTACTGTACAATGAATAGGCCTTATATGACCTATTTTGTGTTGTATGTCAACATGAAGAGATCACAAGTATCTGAAACTCAACAGTTATTCTACTGCATTCACTGCTAAAGCATGAGAATTCAAACAGCCAACACAGACTGAAATTGACTCAGTGGCCCTTCTAAATCTTATGCTTGTCTCTCCAAGTTTCATCCATTGCTGCTAATGAGTGTATATTTTATTGCTTTTGGATGTAGCAATAGCTGGGTTAACACCTGTCACTCCCAGCAAACAATGACTGCCAGTGTAAATAAGCTGTACAGAACCAAATGTGAATACTTTTAATTTTTTCTTTTGAGATTCAAACAAGTATTGGTTCATCTACCCTGGGATAAAGTAGCCATTAATACTGAAAACCATAAATAGGGGTGGCAGTAAATCTGAGATAAGACTCTGGAAACTTTGAGGAATTAATGAAAGAGCTTGCTATTTCTAGGCAGGTGTAAATAAAAGGCTGTTTGCTTCCTATAATTTAGAGGGAGAAAAGATTTCTTTCCAGAACTTTAACAGAGAAGTCTTATTTCTCTTGACAGGACAAAATAACAATTAATTGATTTAAATGTATGACTAACAGATTTCCTAAGGATTTTTACCTTTTATACTTCTATATAATTGTTCATTAGCTTTTTAATGGACTTGATACTATTGATACTGATATAGTCTTGATACTATTCCAAGATCAATGGGAATAAGGGATTCTGGCACTGTGAAGTCCTGCTCAAGCCATGGCCTTGTAACAGAAGCACCTTGTGATCATATCCATACCTCTCTTTTATGGATACTTTACAAGAAAATATTGTAGCTGTTCATCAGTCATTATTGACAAACAGACTTAAGTCCCATAAGAGAGAAGATGCATTGCATCCTTCTTTGCGTACAAAAACAATTCCTTGCTACAAAATTAACTGGGGAAATTTCTTTTGTTGGAACCAGTAAATCATATTTTTAAACTAGTTATTTATTAACTGGACATTTCCAAATGATTTGATCTATAGCTACTTTTAGGACTATTAATTTCATTTTAACAGCTGTGTAATTTTTCAGTTGTCTAAATGTAATTTCATCTATCTACTGTGCTATGAAGTTTTCTAAATTCACAGACTAATTAAGATTGGTTAAATCAGTTAAATCAGCTAATAGCACTGATGAGCCATATGAATAAGGACTTGGCACAAATAAGGAGGCCATAACTGCTTTTCTTGCTGCATAGAAAAATCACTTCATAGCCCTTAGAATAAATTGTGTTCTTGGTTTAATCTTCTATAACTCAAACTTGTGAAAATAAAACTGTAAATAAAATTTAGTTGAGTTTATTTTTGACTGTATACATTTTAAATGAATGGCTACATGATATATCTGCAACAAACCAATCAATTTTCTAACTAAAATTTGCTTGCTGAGGAGAAATTGGAGGAGACAACATTGTCAACATAATATATTTTAAGGGTTCAGAGTATTCGACGTATATGAACAGTTCTCTCCTATATCAAAAGCTAGCATACAAAAATATCCAAGCATTTAAACAATTGGATTTTTGTTTTTATTAGAAATGCTAATAGAAAAGGCAGATTCAATATAACAAGAGCACATCTTATGAGGCACTGATCTCCAGCAGAGTTATAAATCAGAAGATCTATTGTTTTCTAGAAGATGTCAGATACTTACAAATGGTCCTCTAGTCGCTTTATGTCATCCAAAACAAACGAATTAGTACTGTCTGTGGAGCAGGATCCAAAACATTTTAGGGCAGAAAAATACTTAATCTTCCCAACCCAGTCATCATGTAGCTTGCGTTTAGGACTAGGGATAAAAATGGAGATTGTTATTAGGCTACAATAGCAACTACTGTGATGTGTCCCTAGGTGGACAGGAATTTTATCAGTGAGATTATATACAAAACCAATGCTAGCATTTAGTATCCAGGGCAGATACAGAACAACTTTTCCAGCTCAAATGCAAGCAGAGAGAAAGTCAGGGTTGAACCATGCTCTTTTCTAATCACAATCATGCTTCTATCTCACTGAGCACAATAAAGCTGTTCCTTTGTCCAACTGCAGTTGTAAGACCTCTTGTAAAATCTTCTGCTGAAAATTATGGCATTTCCTTCATGCAACAAGAAGCAAATCATACTGAGTTTGAAAAATTATTTTCTTTGGCTAGATGGGCTTAATTTAGAAACAGAAGCTAATCCTCCACTTAGGGCAAACAAAACCCAAATTAAAAAAAAAAAAACAAAACAAAAAAAAAAAAAAACAAAAAACAAAATACAAGACTGAAAATATTTTATCATAAGCAACTTACATGTCAAAAGATTCAGCATCCAAGACTTTAAACTGTGCTTCTTTTTCAGCTTTAGATTGTTTCATTATGAAGTCATCACTGGTGATAGTAAGCAGATAAACATAACCCTTATCATCTCCCATTAAGATGGTATCCTTAGCCAGGTTATCTGCCACAGTCACCGTGCAAACACAGAGCAGACAATTTTTCATTGGTTTGATGACAAAGCCATCACTCTGTGGAATATGGTAGAGAGATTATTAGATATTGCATGAGGGTCCTTAAATTGCATCTATCATGCTTATCTAGTTAAATCAGCATTCAAATCTTGCTTTTGTTTTTTCAAGCTTCCCCTGTGTTAAATGTTTCCTGGTATAAGAAACTCATGGAAGACCATCAAGAAGTGGAGTTAAAAGCAAATCCTAGAGGTTTCAGGAAGATTTTGTTTCATAGGTAGCTTTTTGCATTTCAGTGAAGAAGTATTAATTGCAAATTCTAGGAAGGATCTTTGCATACTATGTGGGATGGTGTACTTGCTAAGATTGTATATGGTTTCCAGTTCAAAAATAAGATGCTCTCTACAAGAAAATTGGAAATAACTAAATTAGAGAATAATTCAAACCACAAAATTTAGCAGTAATACACAGGGACAATCTATACCAGACTCCTAATTAATAATACAGCCTAGGAGAGTCAAGTGTACCAGTACAGGCAGGTGTTCCAATTTTTGAAGCATGGAGATAGTGGGAATGAATACAGTTGCAAGACACTGTGGTATTTTGCTAGAAGGCCCAGGAATGGGATTCAGGGTCATCTGCATTACATTATTTATTGATTCTACTGCCTGACTCCATCAGTTATTTGACTAAAGCATCCTTGCCAATGTAAGCTGATAACTGTTCACATGCCATGAATTAACTGCATCAATGCTGTCTGTGTAGCACAGAAACATTGGAGAAGTAATAGAGATAGGACTGTCCATATATTATTTCTGTGGTCTTGAAAGAGAGCTGCAACTATTCATCAACAGGATACCTGCATATCTCAATGATGTAATAAGTGGAGGGAACTCGGACAATAATAGGTGGAGTCAAATAATAATTCAACTTCCTCCAAGAAGTCGAATTGAACTGGCAAAAATATTTAAATTGACCTGTCTGACCTTGGGAAGCAACCTTTTAATACTGGAAAAAAAATCCTAAAAAATCTTATCCAAAAAATAATGACTTTGCTTCTCCTCATCATCTCAGCTAACTTGAAATTTCCAAGAGAAGTTCCAGGAACAGGAAGAAAAAACTAAGATATGGGTCAGCAAAAATGCATAAGACATTAAAGAAAACTTTAAAAATTTGGACATACATTATTAACATCAAAATGTTTTTTATCTTAGAAAGTCCCGAACAAAACATAGTATATGAAGAAATATTTTCTTTAAATCAGGAAGTTACCTCAAAAAGAATCTGTGTTATATTCCTTGTAAAACCTGTTCCTTGATTCTTAACAGATTCTGAGATCTATGTATGCCCATGCACACATTCTAGGTGCACAGCTGCACACATATGCACTAGATACATATGGAAAAGAAATTCTTTGGGGGTTTGTTTGCACCATAGTGTAAAAATTTATTTTTCTTCCAAACTTTTAATATATTTTAATAATCCCATTTGGCATGTAGAGAGTATACTCCTTTAGTGTGAATTCCACTGTTTCACTGAGTTCCTACAACAACAAAAGTGAAAAGCCTTCATCCTGTTAGACCAAAGGGATGTGAAAGTATATTGGAAACAAAGACTGGTCAACTTTCAGGTTTCATTTTGGCATTTGTCTGATCCAACGTAGTACCTTGCTCTCTTTTGATTTATAGTCCCAGAGAATGATTGTGCTTTCAGTTACAGCCACGACATATTTCAGATTAGGCAGGAAATCACATCCAGTGATCCAAGCAGTATCCTGATGAAAATAAAACGAGTAGCTAAAGAAGGATTTTCTCTGTAAATTTATCAACTTTTCTATCATGTAAGTACATATTTTAAACCATTTGCACATAAATCACATATACTCTGCACTAGCACATGCTAGGTCTAGTTCCACTGAGAGTTCTAACTCCAGGAATAGCCCATATATGAATTTACAGAGGTACCAGGCTCAACCTCTGTTATCCTTTACTCATCTGAGAGGCACAAATGTTGCACAGGAAAAGACACAATAAACATCTAGTGTTAGTCAAACTGTAATGACACTCTGGAAAAGCACTCTGAGCAGAGAAAGCTTAAGCTAAAACATCCATAGCAAAGCAGATTAAGCTTTTACCTGAATACAATTTGGTTTGAAACAAAAGAAATTTAAAGGCAGTCCAAAATTTCAGTTATAAAAACAAAATTAAAATGAATGTTTATGAAAATAAGTAACTTCATTAAATAATTTTAATTCTCCCAAAGGTAGATCAACTATTTACAAATATATACATGTGCCTATATTAAGCTATTGTTCAAATATACTTCCTATTATATAGATATTAATGTAAAACAATTTCTCTTGCAAAGTAGAGATCAGACTCCTGATGTTTCTACTTTTAATTTGATTGTTGTACACAATATTGATTTTGGTCTTAGTGTAAAGGGTCCAAAATCCTGACAGAGGATATCAACACTCTCTTACAGGAGAAAGCTTCTCTCCTTCCTAATGATCTGTGGGCAAGTGGTAATACATTTACGAGAATTTTTTTGTGCCCTTTACTACAATAAACATGTGGAAAATGTCACTTCTGCAGAGACCTTGTTGATTGTTTGGTAATTCTTACGGAAGTGTTTGTTAACAGTGGCTTTTTGAGGTTCTTATAATAGCGTCAGATAACAATGACTAAATGGCTTGAAAAAGATGTTACATTTGTAGCTGTCACTAATTAGTTGTGTTGGCTTGTGATGATGCAAAGTAACAGATTTCAGCTTCAGAGGAAAGGTTATAAGAATTTCCTCTTGTTAGTGCTGCTATACTTGACAGACAAACTAAGCAGCTGCACCAGATCAACCTTTTCATTATTTTCTTATTCCATCCTGTCACTCAAGAGCTTTTATCTTTTCCCCTTTCTTTCACACGTTTTATGGTAAAGATGTCTTCCAATGGTGCCTAATACTGCTACAGCTGCCAAATATTGTCCTACTTTCACAGCAAAAAGCCCTTCACATTAATTGGGGAATTATTTTAAGACAAGTGCTTAGTGTTCAGAAAGGAAAGGGACCCTTCAGCCCACTGCAACATCAGGCTAGCACTCCAGCTTCTTCCATCGTCTTTCCCTTGGCATCTCTGGGGGAGATCCTACCTTTGCATATTTGAACTGGGGAAAGTGGTTCCTACAAGCAAGGTTGGAATGACTAAAATTCACTCCTGTAGCACTTCTGTAGAAGCTCAAATTCTAGTCCAAGTTTCCAAAAGTCAGTTGGTCTCAAGAATATTTCTCAGAGTTACCTCTCTGCACTGATTCCACAGGTCAAATCAGCCCTTGCAATACATTAAACACAACTGAAGCCCTGTTTTCTGAGTTGAAGTAGTAGGGCCTCTGGTCTGGAGTACTTCTGTTGCATTTTAGAACTCCCACAATATGTAAGAGAGAACCAACAAAAGGCACTGCCTCCTGGCACAAGATAGCCACATTGACTTTCAGGATGAGGGGTCACGTCACTTTGCTAAGACTGATGTCTCTTGTCCACAGGTCATCTGAAAGAAGTTCATTACCTAAAATCTGCAGTGATACTCCCAGTGTAAACACAAAGTTTTAATGTATACACTGTGTAGCCAGTCATCTATCTAGGAAAGTGTAGAACTGTTTTTCATTAACAAACTTAAAATTTTACTTACTTAAATTTTACAGTGACAATTGAAGTTCTGGATTTTAGAAGAGAAAGTTCTGGCAAGGTAATGGGTAAAGGATAGTTTGGCAGAAAAAGAAGTATTTATCTGAGGCTTCATTTATCAGAGGAAAGAAAGCAAGTTACTCAATTGTTTCAACAACTGAAAGGAATAAAGTGAAACTATTTGACCTACAGCACGCTATGAAAAATCAGGCAGAAGTCTCAAAGTTAGAATCGGCATTAGAATAATGCTCAGTTTCTACTTATTTCACTCTAGTACCTGCTGATTTTTAATTAAAATTATTTAACAGGAAGGAGAAAAAAAAAAGAACTTACTTCAATATTGATGGTTGTCAGAACCTTCATCTGAAAAATCAAGAAAGATATTGTCATAATAACAAGGTAGTTCTTAAATTAAAAGTCTAAAAAGAGTCATCTCTTCACAGGCAGATCAGAACAGTAACTGCTAACTGAAAGAGCTGGTGGTTAAGATCTGAGAAAGATCCTTAACTGGCCTAATGTCTGTTGCCCTTTATATTGTGAAGAATTTAAAACTTCTCTTTCCCTCACAATTGTTTCATAGTTTCTGGTTTGGTTTGAAGTTTCTACATTGAGATGTCAAAGTGAGGAAAATAAGTAAAAACTCCTCAGTTTTACAACATATAAGAGTACAGATCAGCTGGTCTTCTGATGAAATTGTGCTTTTAATGGTTTTTGAGAGCTAAAACAGCATCAACTCCTGTGAGAAATAAGATTTATCATATAGAAACCCAAGCTAACACTGACCCAATGCCACGTCAACCAGTGCCAGCAAAATCCCTGGCAGAAGCAGCACTTCAGGCTGCAAACAGGAATAACCACATTGGTACAGCACCTTTCACCAAAGGTAACTACTGGGAGGCAGTGTAACGTGTGGCTGAAAACCTGAAGTGTTTAAAGTGTCATCATCGTCCAGCAGAGACAGGGTTATCTTCTACATCTTTTAACAAAACTACTAAGTTTTCAAAAGCAGTTTCAACCTTTTCCCTTCTGAAACACCCACAGATGATTTTTCACCTCCTCTTGCCCCTGTCCCTGTCGCTCATCAGGAATTATTCAACGGCATCTCATCTCCATCCCAGCAATTCCACATTTCATAAACCAAGAAGCAAGGAGCAAGTCTTTCTTCCCATAGAAGTGAGATGCCAGGTGTCATCATGGACAGCCTTTGAGCAGAGTTTAAGAGTATTGTTAGCCAAGAGATGGATATCCATGCACTGTATCAGACTTGGCTTTATCTACAGTAACTAAAATGTGTCCTTAAGGCTGCCTACTCCTACAGGTCTTATGTGCAGGTCAAGGCAGTATCCATCTGAGAACCTGAGCAATGTAAGTGTCTCATATTCTGGAGTAACCTGGAAGTAGTTGATGGTATAAAGCTGTATACAGGTGTTGAGTCATATTAAGCCCACATTCACTAAAGAAAGCAATGGTTAGCCCTCAAATAGAATTATTATTATTATTATTATTATTATTATTATTATTATTATTATTATTATTAATAATAATAATAATAATAATAATAATAATAATAATAATAATAATAATAATAATAATAATAATAATAATATAATTAAGGCTGGAATAGATCTTTAAAATTATCAAGTCCAACTGTAAAACTAACACTGCCAAGTCTACCGCTAGATCATGTCCCCAACAGCCACTTCTACACATCTTCTGAATACCTCCAGGGTTGGTGACTCAACCACTTCCCCAGGCAGTTCCAGTGGTTGACAACTCTTTGGATAAAGAAATTATTCCTAATATCCAGTCCATTCCTCTCTTGGCACATCTTGGGGCTATCACAATGACTTAGTCATTTTCAGCACATAGTTTTATAAATGAGAGTTGAAGTCCTTAATTCACTGTGTTAAGCAGCTGGGTGTAAAATAATATACATTACAGTCACTGATGTCAGATAACATCAGTCCAGCCTATGAGGAGGCAGCAATTCAACTTGAAAATAGCAGGGGCAGGTAGAGGGTAGGGAGGAGAGCTGTTTTTAATCTTATACTTTGGGAAATTATTTTTCATAGGTACAAAAGTGGGATAATGTTCTGGAGGACAGGCTTTCAAATAAATTATTTCAGTGTTTATCAAAACTGCAGTACTGCTTTGTTATTTAATCATCCACAGGAGTCCTTTCTGGTTTAAATGTTCCTGTCATAAGCATTATGCACCAATTAGCTAAAACCCCTAGAAAACATTAGTGCTGCTTTAAAGTTTTATTGCATTGCCTGAAATAAATTTTAAGGAACTGGTTACATTAAAATTTTACAAATGTAAAGCACCAATAAGCATAGATGTGTGATAGCCTGGGTTTCTGTATGACACATTCTATATCATAGCCTCTATAGATGCATACCACTAAATAGTAATATAATAATCTGGGAAATTAATGTACAAACTAGTTTAACAGCATTTTAATCCTGAATTCCTATTGTAAATGGTACAGATCTCCATATGTTTTACTGATGAGGGAACTAAGTGTGAGCCAGTGTCATGCAGACTGTTGTAAAACTCATGACTTTCAAGCTTCTAGATGTTGCTGTACTGAATAAATCTTATTTGCAAACAACTGTCTCCGTCCCTTCTAGATATTTTCAGTAGCTGTAGAAATCAGTTAATGCTCTGATTTCCACTCTATATCTAAAAGTTTTTTATTTATATTTTTATAATATTTTTTATTTATGGAAATCTTTTCTAAACAGAAACACAGATTATTTTCTATTAAAGGAATTTCTATGAAGAATGTCTCTTATGAGCCATCTCTATCAACTTGTATGGACTGTCTAGTAGGTTTGTAATTGGAAAGAACAATGTATATTTTCTGCTGTACTTAAAAATATAGAAAAAGTTAACTTTGATAAGAAAGATGTATAGTTTTTTTAATGGGAAAATTTGAATGCTAGATCACAGTCCAATCAGGTCCCCTATGTACTGCTAATGGAATAATAAAAGAGTTTGATTTAGAATTACCTGTTTTCTAAAAACAGTTAGCACTCCTTTCTGAGAAGCTGTTACTGTGAGATGCAGAAGGGGCACCTTCACTATACCCTTGATCACATCTTTTCTCTTGACAACTGTCAATGACAAAATATTACTCTTCATCTTACAGACATGGAAAGCATAAAAAATTAGAAGTATATTAGTAAGGAGAACATAAACAAATAGGACTATAATAGTAAGAACAGTGTCTCTTCCTGACAAGCATTTTGGTGTCATAGGCAAGGCAGTGATGCAATATATCATAAATTATCCCATACTTGGTTAAATTAATCACGTTGCATTTTAAATGTCATTAATATTGTAATTCTGGATGTGCCAGTTCTTCCTCCATATTTAAAAAAACCCAGAAAGACAATGTGTAACTGCATAAATAAATAGTCTGATTCAGAAAAAAATCATAATTTCAAAATAATTTAGGAATATGGAGAACTGGAAAATGCAGCAGTGGAGTGTTCAATGTTTAGTAAAAACCCATGTATTTTGGAACAGAGAAGAAGAAGGAGAAGAAGAAGAAGAAGAAAAATAAGAAGATGCAAAGACAGACATGGGATTTTATCACCCTACTTTCAAGAAAGTGAGCAGCATACGGCATTAGAAAAAATAGAGTTTTTGATGTAAGGTGAAGTATGTCACCTGAATGAGTAATCTGCTGTTTTTCAGATACAAGCAAAACCATGCTTTCTTTTGATGTGGAAGACATGCCACCATTTGCTCTTCTGAAACAGCCAAAAATCTAAACAAAACAAAATAGAACTAAACAAATAATTTATTTCAAAACTACTTCTGGAAGATATATATATATATATATATATATATATATATATATATATATATATATGACGTCATATAGTTATCTCACACTTTAATAATTTAATATTCTTTGAGTATGTACCTTTCCTTTAACCATTAGCTGTTAATATGACTTTAGACTGCTGAGATCTGATACTCAGGCACAATCTTTCTTCAATGTTTGTAAAGAAGTCAGCTTACACAGGACTTCTAGGAATACAGCCCATCTATTTTTAAAGTTGTTAGTACAGTTTTGCTTTCTAAATAACCATATTCAATTTCCATTTTCCAGTTCCACCTACCTCAACTAGGGAAAAAAAACCAAACAAAACTAGCAAAAGGCACACAAAAAAGACAACTCCATATTTATAAACAAAGACATTCAATGCAGCATAGTGGTTTAGCCAACACAGAAGAGCTTTTCCATAAAGATATGTACATCTCCATTTGCTTGAAAAGAAATGTAATGTAAAGACAATTTAAAATATCCTTTATTGGCCATCTCCCTAAGTCTGACAATGTTCCATTTGAACATGATGAAGATCTCTGCACAGGATAGTCAGGTAAGCGGCTTATTTCTACTCCAGGTTGTGAAATTTTCAGTGGAAATGTTCTACAAATCTCAAGCTCTGTACCCAATAGTAATTTAGTCATTTCTTTAGTAAATGAGTCCCACTTAGCAGTACAGATTTTTAAACTCCTTTCTCATATTATAGACATTATATATACTTCCATTCATGAATTCTAAAAGCAACGTCCCTTTGGATGGGAGACAAAACGTTGTATTCTATTCTAGTTCAGTATTTTTCCATGTTATACAATAGAACTCCCATTTTCAGTCTTTGAGAGATTCAGATGCACATCTTTCAAAAAAAAAAAATACTCTCACACAGCATTACTCTTTATCTTTCACTTCACAGCTCCCTCCTTTCCATATACACAATTATTAGCTATCATACATCCATGTTTTCAAGACAGTTTATAGGCAAGCCATATAAAAAGACTATCATCAGTCAGCTCACACTTGGTAAAATTTGAGAAATGCTCATAGAAAGGGTTCTGGGGAATTTTATCCCAAGGAAATCATGCACAGATTTCAAAAAGAAACTAAAGAGGCTTCACCTCTTGTACTACACCCCATACTGTGCTTGCTTCTGTGATTATATAGCGGAATTATTTATGTAATTAAGTAATTTGGTAACTAGTCTGACTGCATTAAAAACTCAGTAAGGTTTTGGAGGAAATGATCCGCACTCCAGCAAACACACAGAGCTTCCCTTATTTCGCTTATAAACTAATGAGCCTGAACATAATTTGCTACTGTTCTGCTAGCCTAAACAAAGGACAACCAGTCCTTCAGACTGTCAGCTATTTTCCAGATTTGCCCTAAGCCCTCCTTGAAGGAAATCTTTAATGGCTGACATGAGCAAAATACGTGATTAATGTGACACAGTAAGAAAAAACAATGGTTAAGAAAGGTAGTAACCAGAAATGTTCCCACACAGAACCCTATTAAACAGAAACAGCTGAACACACTGCTTTTAGGATGATATTAGGAAATCACTTTATAGCAATTGTTGATAATACATAAGGAACAGATGCTTGGGTATCTTCAAGGTTCCAATATTAGGATGACGTTCCAGAGTAACATAAAATGTAAATATGCTGACAAATTTATAGTTCATGTCACTTGCTAATACCCTACCATAAGACTTTAAGTCCTGTAAGGATTTGCCATGAATACAATGCCTCCTATGCTAGCGTAGGAAAGTCACTGTGTGCTGGGAGTTATGTCCCTTCTGCAGAATTCTGTCTTCAGGTAAGAAACGACCAAAAAAAAGTCTTGCAGTAATATGTGATGAAGGGTGCTCTTGATAAGGATTGGCTCTAACAATCTAAGAATCAGTAATTTTTATAGAACAGTTACCTGAAACACTAGCCATGGTAAATACCTTAATAAAAGACACATTTCTAGAGCAAGTGTTCATTTCTCAAAACATGTGCAAATAAAAAATGTTTAAAAAACCCGACAAAGTACTTTTTCACAAAATGTGAAAAACTGGGTGCTAGGCAGCTAGGATAAGTAACAAGAGAGTGCCTCATTCTGCCTTGAAACTCATGAAAACAGACTCATGAACAACACACAATCATCAGATAAATACTGTCACTATTTAAAATTCTAATTAGTTTTTCATATTTAAGAAAACCTTAGAAATTCTTACCTCAAGCCACTCTGGTCTTTCATCAAGGTTGCTCATAACCTTCCTGAAAAAGGCCTGAATATCCTGATCCTTGACTGCTGAACCAAAAAGTGTTCGTGTGGTTGTATAGAACTTTTCATAATCTCTCTCATCTGCATGGGAGGAACAACGTCCACACAGTTTAAAACTAGAAAACTACAGATTCCTTTCTTATCCACCCTACTCATGGTTTTATTTCTCCTTCAATACCAAACCATGGAAGTTCCAGCTTCTCACATTGTATTCACTAAAGCATTTGAAAAGAAAAAAAATCAGTCCTAATATTTTCTCTTTTCAAAACTACCTAATTTGCAATTTATGACAGGAAACAGATAAAAGGATAAAAATGTCACACTCCTTTTTTCTTCCCTTACTCACCATAATTCTGATTTGGTTTTTTGCACCTGAACAGTGTGTGGGATTATCCTTTCAAGCAGCAACAGCCACTTGCATTGAGAAAAGCAAAATTTTACCCTCATTATTTACAATTAGTTACTGTATTTACATAATTTATCGAATTTGTGCTTTTATGGAAACATAAAACAGTTAGCATCATGCTAACATCTATATGTTGCAACTCCACCAATTATATTTTCTGAGTGATCATCATGGCCTTATAATTTGGCCAGAAATCCTAGCAGAAGGAGAAAATAACTTTCACAGTGCTATCTCTCTATTTCCTGTAAAAATCAAACACAGTTAGAACATTAATTTGAAGGAAATTATCATCCCTCTGTGATATGTTCTCTCCATGTGAAAATTACATTTTACCATCTGAATTAGTATTTCTTACCATTGTCTTTAGTATACAAGCCTGAACTCTCCTTGGTCTTCTGGATGATCATTTTTTCAACTAGATTCTGAAACTGCTCCAAAGCATTGTTGAAATCAATCAATTCAAGAGCAGGGCAACCCTCCTTATCACCCTTCTTTCCAGACATCCTTTATGAACAGAAGACAAGAGGGACAGCTCTTCTTACAGCCATGTCCAAGCCTTGCTTTGTTCCTTTAACTCCCATATGAGTTCATGTGAGATGCAGCTTCATGACAGGTATGGCAAACATTACAAAATAAAAAAGAGGAGACCCTGGCTTAGCATCTCAAGCTGGCAAACATTGTAGTGAACTGTGGCTGTCACAACATCACATCACAGAATTCTACTCACTCAGTAGGTCCTACTCACTACTTAGTGGTCCAGGTCATGAACCAGGACCACTAAGTAACCTAGCATGTGACATTATTTCATTTTATCTCATGCAACTGGCTACAGAAAGACTTCATGTTTTTTTCACAGAATAGTTAGGGTTGGAAGGGATCTCTGAAGATCCAACAGTCCAACCTCACTGCCAAGGCAGGGTCACTTAAGAGCAGGTGACACAGGAATGCATACAGGTGGTTTTTGAGTGTCTCCAGAGAGGTATTTTCCCCCAGGGTTTTAGTAACACTTTTCCAAATGTTTCTTTGGGGAGAGAACTGAAGGAGTGGAGAGCATTGAGCATGTATTAATTGCATGAACAAATCTGACCTTTAGTTCTGCTTTCACCTCCTTTATGTTACAGATCAATAAATATCAGCCATTGATCACTACACAGAGCACAAAACTTTGTTCTAAAGTATAACTTGTAGTAAGGCACCAGGCGTTGATCTTCAGACACAAAAATATGGAGAATTGCTTCAAAGTGTAATTGCATAAACTGTTAAAATTTAAGCCTCTTTGTGTGGCTTATGCTTCCTTTCTTGTAACATGTTCACTAATTTAGTTGGTACATTCTCATACTAGGGGCCTTTTTACCTGGACTACTTCTCCTTTCCTTTAGGTTTTGATATAATTGTGATTCTTATGCAAATTTTTCATATTTTCAATATCTTTAAAGGATATTGATGCCATGTTACTGAGCTATACCTTAATAGGCAAATGGTAAATTTCAGACTATTTGGTAAACTCGCTTTTCTGTAGACCACACTGATCAATTGCTTTGTATTGTTCTTTAGCTATTGATCTCCAGATCTACTTTGCTATTACTTCCCCCAAGGTTGATGCCAGGTTTACTGGATAAGGCTTTCTTGAATTCCTGAGCGAGGAGTCTTAGCTCTGAGGAGATTCTGTAGTTGAAAAGGAGAAATTATATTTTATATTTCCTCACAGCAATCTAGAGGATTGATATCAAACAGGTATGTTTCAAGAATATTCCAGTCACTTCTTCAAAAAAACAAAACAAATAAAGGAAGTAGTCTTCACACACACTCAGCATATCAGCTAAATGACATTTTTTAATCATATAGGGAAAGCAACTAATTGGTATTAAACAGTTACTAAAAATAATGCATGGAAATAGTTCTGCATGAAATAGCTAGTTCTTCAGGGATAATGGTGTCTCATGATATGTTACCTAACACAAGCAATCCAAGAGCCTGGAATTCTATCATTTAAAGGGGAAGAACCCAAAAGTTTCTGGGTACTTCTGTTCTACTGCAATGAGCATTTCTTTTTATTAGAATAAGGAAAAGACATTGGCAGAGAAAAGCAGCAAATCAGAATGATGCCTGGAAAAGGGAGGGATAGCTTGAAGATACATTTTTACTGTTCCAACAGTAATTCTCCAAGAAAATATTTCCTATTAGGTCAAGGTACTCAGTGGCTGGTCAGATACTATATCCTGGTCAGAGTTGTGGTATATTTGACATACTACCTCCACTGAATTCTTGTTATGCAGTGCTTCCTGTTGATTAATTTTTCCAGTCTCTCTTATCTAAGTTTGTATGACATCAGGTTATATTCTCATTTCCCAGTCAATATCAGCGGTTAAAGGTTTTCATAAAGGGTATTTAGCATCCACCCTCAGAACAGAGAAATTAAGAACAGAAATCTGTGTTTTGCTCTCTTGCAAAAACCCATGTGGAAACTTCATGTTATGTAACATGATGAAAACACAAAGAAATCCCAAATGAGGAGTCATTGCTTTCAGTACCTGTTGATTCTTTTGTCTTCAATGTTAAAAAAAAAAAGTACAAGAGAATTTAAAAATAAGATGTGATGACTGAGGGGACTGGAAAGAAAAAGCAGAGAAGATAGGAATTGCATTAGAAGATAAGCAAAGTCTAAAAGGCAAATTCAATATTTAATTGGTGAGTCAGGAAGTCCTTGCATTAGTAGCCCTACATTAGTAGGGCTAATGCATTAGTAGCATTAACTGAATGAACAGCATTTCCTTCACTGTCTCTCTTACTGATAGTGTGGAAAGCACTGGATATGAAATACAATATAATTGATGTATATTCAGAAGTTGACTCTGTCAACTCTTCTTACCACATAATCTTATTAGTCTCAGTTATTAGAAAGTCTCAGATACAAAGATAATGATATGTCTGTATGGGTGCAAAGAACAGCTGCAGCAAGTTCATTGTAAGATTGGCACCTCATTTGAAAAATCAATAATTTTCAATCTTTATTTCAATAACTATCATAAGTCTATGAAATGCCATGCAAGTTTTAAAATTCTGACCATGTAATTTGACAGCTCATAACAAATAACCCATACCTACCGAAGAAGACAGTCAGCAAAGGTGATAGATCATTTTTCCTGCCTGTACTGGGCTGCCAGTCACTCTTCCTGGTGGTCTCATGCAAAAGCAAATTCTCCCCAAGTAAAATGATGGTTCAGAACAACCTGAAGTAGATCACACAGGGGATCTAAACTGGCCTTAGTTGTCCCTAAAGAGGCTCTGGGACATAAAAGACTGTTTCTGATTTGGGTCAAGTCCAGCCATTTAAAAAGGAAAAAAAATAAAGCAGTCCCTGAAGATGCTTTCTTTGATAAGCTTACCCGTCCTTTTCTATCTCTTCCTTATAAACATCCCATTAAACCTAGCTGTATTTAAGTTGAATCAGGATAGAGATGCTTTACTTCAGACTGACTGAACTCTCTGACCAGTATGGGACTGGGCAAGTAATAAATTTTAGCATTGTAAAAATTAAATTTCTTCTATGAAACAGTGTTTAAGGGGCACTATCATGTTGACATTTACATTAGATCACTCTTTTTTTCTACTGGCTCAATTTTTCACTTTTCTTTAACATCCCATGAGCAGTATTGTGCTCCTTGCTATAAAGTGCATGTGCTCCCCTCTGTCACTAACAGCAGCTGAAATAACCAAGTGATAGTTTTAAAAACTGCACTTCCTGTAGACTATATATTGATTTGTATGTTAGGCTCTGGAAAATAACAGCAAGGCAGTGAGCTTCTAAACACTTTCACTTTATGTTTGTCACACTAACAAGAAGCTGCAGCATGAGTATGAACTACTATGCAAAGTGATTTCTTAAAAGAACACAGTTTATATGACAAATGAATTTAAAAATGTTACTCTTGCAAACACGAGTGTTGCCGGTTTTATAATGGTTATACTATGCCAGTGCTTAGAGTTCAGCCTGCCTTATGAGCTGTGTCTGTACAAGCAAGGACATCAGGATGTCAGCAGGCACAAGCATATATCACCACCTCTTTTAATCCACTCTGCAGGAAACAAGTGCCACAGAGGCATCAATATGCATCTGCCTCCTGAGCACATAGCACAGTCCCACACAGGCTTCTCTAGCCAAGATGAAGTTCATCTCATCTAACTTAGGCATCTAAAAGTTAATTATTCATGTCATCTTATGCGCCAGTCAATGTTTATTGACTGGCCCATAAGATGACTTGAATAAGGCTGAGGGTGATTCATCTTACTGGTCTTAAGTGCTTAACTTTCAAATACATCATTTAGGTGGGATGACTCACACCAGCAGCTAGTACAGCTCTTTGTATACATGTCAGGTATACCAGAGCTCACACATCCACAGAACAGGCTGCAGCCAACTTCCAAATGCAGCACAAATGCTCTGACTGCTCGCCATCACCCCCCAGGACAGCCTGCTTGGGTCCCCTTCCCCCACTGAAAACACTTGTGCTTGCTTCAGTGAACTGTGTCTGAGCCAAGCACTTCTCTCAGCCCAGAATATTTTGACAATCTTTCAACATTAACACTTTACCTGCTTTAGGATTTAAAATTCACATCCCAATATGGACTAGATTATACATGTAGGATTACAAGTTCTGCAAGATGAAGCACTAGCTTTAAACTTTTGCCCTTAGGGATGTGCATTTTGGGGGTTTTTTTACTTAAAAAATTGCATTATCAACAAGTGTAGATCTATATTGAAAGCCTTGTTTTAATGCCAAGAGGTCGGCAACAGATGAAAGCTTTCTTCTGTCCACACACTTGTTCTGTGGATATACCCTGCAGCTATATATAGATACAGTGAATAATCACTCAGCTTTTATCTGCCTCTAAGGCTAAAGAATATCAAAAACAACGTGTAAGAAAAGAAAATATTCCAGGAGAACACTGTAAAAAACCAAAAAAGCTGAAGCTAGGTAGCCAGAGTTTTTTGGGAAGTTTTAGTTTGGTTTTGGTTTGGTTTGGTTTTGAGCAGCCTGCATTCTGACTCTATATCATGCCCTTGGAAATAATAAGCTTACAAAGTTCAAAACAGGCATGAAACCCACAGCATTATCTGACTCCTGGAACAAATGTATTTAATACAAACAGAAGACTTTCCTGCTCACTCTCTGTCAGGAAAGATGGGAAAGAGCCTGTGACTTCAAAGGTACACTAGCAAAAGACAGAGAACAGAGAAAATAAGTGAAAGCAACACATAAGTCAGTGAACATAAAATGAAATAGGTCTCTTGAATGCCTTAAAACGCTCTTTTTCCACCCCACAATGTTCTTACTGCAAAACCCCAGACATTTTTAATGGTGTAGTTACAACTGGGAGTCACATTTGTGGTTTGTATTTCTACCCAAGCTTAGAGAGTAGCAGATACTTTGAAAGATTCTTTACTCTGCTTCAGATTCTTCAGCTCTAATATGTGACACTCAATACTCTGCTGTGCTGAAGCATTCCAAATGACTAAATATTGCAAACTTTTGAAGATAGTCCTAGACATCTGCAGACTTTGTACTTGTGAATGATTAGTTCCAAGGCTGGGTTTTAAGGTTTGTCTTGTGCACATGTAAGCATATGTCGGCCACCTGAAAGTTTACAGCCTATGCATGCTTCTACCTCATGTGAATTGTGCATAACAGACATGTTAAAAGGACTGTTGCAGAAGAGATCTTTAAAGTCCTTTGGAGTTTCAGAGACTGTTTTTGTAGTACAGGACTGGGGACGTTCTATTCCTGCTTGTAGTACATTTTTAATCTCATGAGCTCAGCAACACACGTTTAGTACTTTGATGCACTTCCAGTAAGTCGCACACATACACTTTTAGGGTTCTGGTCTATCATTTCATGCAATGGTAAAAGTAAAGGTAAAACTCTTTTTGCAGTAGAAAAGGACTGACTAAAGAATTAATCAGTTTACTAAAACCATAGCTGCATCGGTTCTAGAGTGGGTTAGATAAAACAGAATCTAGACTAGAACTGGGGTCAGGGTTCTGTTTCCAGCTTTGACCTGATGATACAATAAAACTGCATTTCTTTTTGTCGTGCCTCATATGAGAAGTGACACTGGAAGACAAATGGAACTCTGCTCATGAAGTATCCAAGACCACTTGAATAACATTAGCAACCTGACAGTATTAATAAAGTGACCTTTGCAAATTAAGCATTGGAGAGATTGCACATCTATGGATCTATATAGTTTTGCTACAAAAAAAGCCCAAACCAGGAATTCTGATATATGATCTTTATGAAATGCAAGTCATAGGTTATAAATTCAAAGACATCTAGAGGCAGTATTTCTGACAGGTGCTGTAGTGAAATACCTCCTAGGAATCCTAAGTGTATAATGGAACCTGCCAATGGACACTATGTTGACTGGCATGTACTAATAACTTCATTATATTTTTCCCATTCTTCTTATCACCTTTTCTCGCTTTTCATTTTGCACGGATAAAAAGATGCACAATTTAAGATTTTCCTTTAGAGGCAGAAGATAGAGATGTCTTGTTCTCAATGAGGTGTAGTATTAATCTGGTACAGTCATGCCATTGTTAGACTTTTAAAATGCAATGACTGTCCTAAACAAATCCATAACTGTGCATTGACATAATAAATTTGCACATGGTCTGTCATGCACAGTTAAATTTCTTTTGTGGATGAAGAAAGACAAAATCATGCCTTCCCTAAAACTGATGCTTAAGTACTGTGGTCTATTACCAGAAATTTTGGAAGGTCATGTGTTCTGGAAATACAGTTTTTATGGTAAAAAATATATAAGTGGTTTTGAGAAAGGAAGCTGCTCTTTCCTTTGCAGTGAGAAAAGCCCTGTTGACTGGTGATGAAGAAATAGACTGAACTAGCTGTTAAAACTAAGTTTCAATTAGTGATTACATCAGTATATGAGGGATTTAACAACATAGATCATAAAGTTAACATCAGTAAGAATAGATACTTTAACCAGTGTTTTTCTGACCGATGACTTTATTCCTACTGCCTTGTATTACAGCAGTAATTTGTCATATAAAATACACTGTCATGAGAAGCCCATAATTTGTACATAGGTTTGTTTTGAAAGACGTCAAACCTACCTCAACCATCCACGTTTTCAGTCTCAGTTCACGCTTAGTCTAGATCATTTAGTAACACTGTGTATGAGAAGAAAAAAACCAGCTATTTTTTAACAAGACATGTATCCATTAAAACATTAAAATTCTTTTGCTTTCACATTTGATTTTTTTTTTTAACTAAAGTAAGAATAGACTTAAACTGAAAGTTTTCTTTGTGCCCTTAAGAAGGCTGTCATGTATCAACACATATTAAAACAAACAAACTAGGTCTTCCTGTGAGGAAAACAAGTGCTTGGTCTGGAAAAGTGTTTTGAGTGTAGAACCATGGTGAGCAAAATTCCCCGTGAAACACGCTGGGGTGGGTTGGGTGTGGAGACAGCACAGCCACCCTAACACAGCAGGAGCCCAGGGCGACACTGTGACTAACAGCATCTAGAGCTGTACACAGGCGGCACCGCATGCCTGTACTACACACACCGGAGACAAAGGTAGGAAATTGGCGATTTCACGGCGAAGACCGCGGTGTCTTGCCTGCCCCACGGCTGACAGAGCGCCCACTCACACCAAGGTTTGCACGGGCCACGGTGCTGCCGGGCCGCCCTGTGGTGCTCAAACTCCTAAAGCCAAGCTGAGAGCACTGCGGGGAACCTCCTGAGAAGACACTGTTGCCATAATAGCAGTCTTCATTGGAAGGACATCTGGGGAAGAAGGCTAAATATCGGTTCTACCTCTTCCCGGAGCTGGCCGCAGAGCAGGTCTGCCTAGACGCGGTCCCCGTGAGGGAAGCGCTGCTCACGGCAGCCGTGGCCCAGTCAAAGCGCACGGAGGATCTTTAAGGAACAGGAAACAACAGCCACATCCCGGCCAACCGGGCTGCTCACCCAGGAACAGGATCAGAAGACCTGTTTGCTTAGAAGGGGCCACGCCGGGGCCGGGCACGCCCCGGGGCAGTCGAGGGCGAAGCCACTTGAGGGCGCGCCCTCCATGGGCGGGAAGGCAGCGGGAACTCCTCCTCCTGCCCGGAGCGTCGGTGCGCGATGGGGCTGGGAGCGGGCCGGGAGGCTTAGCCCCGCTCCGGCCCGAGCCATGCCCGCGGGGAACGGCACGGGCACCTCCGGCCGCCCGGCGCCCGCGGCGCCCGAGCAGGAGGTGCCGGGCGAGCGGCCCCTCTTCAGCGCCGGCACCTACGAGCTGCTGGCGCTGCTGGTCGCCACCATCGGCATGCTGGGCTTGTGCAACAACTTGCTGGTACTGGTGCTCTACTACAAGTTCAAGCGGCTCCGCACGCCCACCAACCTCTTCCTCGTCAACATCAGCCTCAGCGACCTGCTGGTGTCCGTCTTCGGCGTGAGTCTTACCTTTATGTCCTGCTTGAGGAGCCGCTGGGTGTGGGACGCCGCCGGCTGCGTCTGGGACGGCTTCAGCAGCAGCCTCTTCGGTGGGTGCTGGGGACGCGGGAGCCGCCTGTCCCTCCCTGTGCTGCCGAGTCCCTCCTCGCCAGCTTGTACCGGCGGTACCGCGCCCCGTCCCCGCTTCCCAACCGCCCCGTCCCCGCTTCCCAACCGCCCCAACCGCCCCGTCCCCGCTTCCCAACCGCCCCAACCGCCCCGTCCCACTTCCCAACCGCCCCAACCGCCCCGTCCCCGCTTCCCAACCGCCCCAACCGTTCCCAACCGCCCCAACCGCTCCCTGCCGGCCCAGCCGCTCCATCCCCGCTGCCCAAACCGCCTCAGCCCTGCCGCTCCCGCGGCGCAGTCCGGCCAGGGGCGTTCAGTCGCCGCCCTGGCGAAGGGGTTGGAGGGCGGCGGGGGGTAGAGCCGGCGGGTTTTGGTAAAAAAAGAGCGACAGTGCTGGAGAAAACAACCCGAAGCAAAAAAAAGGAATTATTCGAGAATCAGTTTTTCGACCTCCTGCCTTTGCCTGTGTAAGGTGTGATTTAGGGAAAAGAGAAGCAGTGCTGTTAGAAGTCTCGAGTTGACCAAGTGATGCGCAGAATTCATGAGCAGAAACCACTGCGTTTTATAGGAGCTGCAGTCTGCGGATAAAGAGCATGTGTGATTCTGGATGTAGGGTCAGCAGTGTTCCACCTCAGTGGAACAGGTGGAAAGCTTCTCCCCAGCAGCCTTCTCAGTGTTGTGACTTGTCTGTTTATAAAGCTACACAGTGTGTGGAAGTGCCTTGAATTTCCTTATCCATGTGTGAAATGCAGGTACCATCTTTCAGTCATAACAGTGTTACAGTTGGGCTTTAGGAAACCACTGACATTTTAGCACTGCAGAAGGAGTACTTACTACTATTTCCATTTTCAAAACCTTTAAGCTCTTCACTTCTTTCTTTCCTGAAATTAATACATACTCTTTGCAGAAGTTTGCAGAAGATTAGGTAGCAGTCCAGCTATGTACATTGCAGCCTCTTAAAAGGAATATTGCTTTTGTTTTACCAGTAAAAGATGCTGCAAAAGAAGACACTCATGTTTCTAATGCTGAACCAGTTACAAAATCTAAAGCTCATGTTAGATACTTCTTCCTGCAGAGGTCTATAAATTAGAGATGGATCACAGTGCACCCACTGGACGTATATACACTGAAAATTGACTCTTAGGTGACACAGTAAAGTCTTAGATAAGCTTTGTAGCTTTCCTGCATACATAACCTTTGTTTCACATGGCTCTGTGGTCAGCATTTTTTGGGCTACTGTGTGAAGGTGTGTGGTTGCTGCTGCTGGTTTGACTCCTGATGCATAGTGCAGCAAAAATTTTATGTCTTGAGAGTTATGATGGGTGTAGGATGTAGTTAATAACTTGTGCAGTGTTTGGTACCAGATAATTTCTGCAGTGCACAGACCTCAGACGTTTGTGTGGCTGTTGGTATCAGGGAAAGTACTAAGCACTTTGCTGGCATAAGGTTTTCTCCATCACTCAGCCTGTTCAAATTCTTGACAAACTCAAGTATTTGTCTGCCAAACAGATGCTGCCAGACATGTTAATGCCAGAATGTTAATCTTACATAGAGGATGTAAAGTACAGTTTTATTCCTACCTTTATCTCTTATATAATATACTTATTATTTTTGATGGAAGCATTTTCCATATAATTTCAAAAAATAAGATACATAGCACGGGCAAAAAACCAGACTCTAATAATCTCATACCATCTTCTGAAATAGTAGAAATAGAAACAATGAGGTATCTAACTTGGCAAGGAAATTGCTTGATCTCATGTGACTTTTAATTTCTGTTTATTTTGAGGTATACTACATAATTTGTTACTATAAATATATTTAGTGTTAATGCTTTTCTGCATCCCTATATTTAAGATTTTTTTTCCCAAAGAAATGTAGGTAAATTCATGGGCCTTGTCTATACAGTAGTCAAGTTAGTATCTATGGTTTGTAAAATTACATCTTCCTGTGGTTGGTCATGCTATGTTCCTCTTCCATAATGTACTTCATTGGGAAGAATTTTTTTATTTCTATTATTATTAGAAAAGTGTGTGTTTGTGTGTAGTTGATCATATGGAGAGTAAATTCACAACTTAATGTTCAGGAATGATGCCTTAATTTAGTCTTTTAAGCTGCCATGTAAAGCAATAGAAAATATTTAACTTGGCTATCGTAGTTGAATGCTAATTTGATAAAGTGATGTCTGATTTTAACCTCCACAGTATTGTTTTAATATTCTAATCTAGAAATAGAAGACTTGTTCGTTCCTGTTTTTGAAGATAAATGGTCAATGCTGAGGAAAAAAAAAAAAAAAATATATGAATTATGTCCCTCAGCTAGCATCGTACTCTATTTGCCATCTGGATTATTGCTACCATGAGTTCTATGTTCATTTTGTAACGTCTTTATGGAAAAAACAGTAATTTGAAGTGTTTTTGTTTGTCTGTTTCTGTTTGGTAATGTTTTGAATGTTTTGTTGTTCTTCAGATTAGGTATTTGGGTTGGAATTTTTGTGGGGTTTTTTTTGGTGGTGGTTTTTTTTTTGTTGTTTATTTTTGGTGAGGTTTTTTTCACAGTTTTTATTTGGGTGGGGTTTGTTTGTTTTTTCCCCTGGTAATGGTGAAGATGCTGATTAAAGATTTAATTTATATTTAGAAATATACTTTTGTATGTAACAACCCAAGTCACCTGTTATCTTGAGGTGATGGTGGTAGGGAAAGTATGGAAGTCTTACTTGTATTACTTACAAGTGCTTCTGAAAGTATAACACTCTTCCAGGAACTTTTGGGAATACAAAGTACATTTGTTGATCAAAAGACATACAAAATTGACAGCTTTGAAAAGTGAAATTCTCATTAAGTAAGCAGTGTACTTACAGCTTTGCAGTGTTCAATTCTCAGTAAGCCACAATGAAGAAGTTTCTAGAATAAAGTGGGGGTAGCTCTGGTACCATGGATATGGAGTCTATTAAACCACAGATCATGTGAGGTTACTTTAGTGGTGTGAATATGTCTTGGGGTTGGATTTAGTCAGGCTCATTTTAGATGAGATGACCAAAACCTCTTTATTTACAACTTTGTGATTTCATTCTTGCTATGTGAGCTTTCTGTGGCAGCCCTTCAGGCCCAAAAGCTGTTTGGTCTTACTTTCCATCCTTATGCATCTTCTTTAATCGGAAGAACAAGCCCCTAAGACCCAGTACGTGGTGTAAGTTGTTCTCTGCATGTGTGGACTTATAAATGAGAGGTTCCCCTGATAGTAAAAAAAGTTTGGGATAAATTATTAAGTCTGCTTTTTTGGGTTTTTTTTTTGTTGTTGTTGTTTTGTTTTTTGATAAATAGAATTTCCACTTCAAATTCAGAGATAATTCTCAACCAATTTTAAAAATCAGATTCTTCCTAATTTTTGCAGGTAATCAGGAATCAGGTTGAAAATCATGATTCAGCAGCTTTATTTTAATTTTTCAGGCTTTGTTACAAGGTTTTTCCTCATGCTGTTTTGAAAACTGAGATCAAGGTATTTCTGTGTTCCTCTTAAGGATTTCAGTATGATTAAATACATAGGTGTCATTTGTGCTTAAAATAAACTGATAGCATTTGTATTTTTAGAAGCTTTCATTACAGAATAACGACAACTTCTTTTCCCCCTCACAGGTATGAGGGCACTCTCTACACTTCTAATAATTTTGCATCAAGGAATTGAGCATTTTCTTTGTAAGAGTGCTTCTCATTTTGCCAGCCGGTTGGAGGCGTGATAAGATCCGGAACTCAGGCACTGTAAGCAGATGTTCACAGTCTGAAACTTTTAAGTTGAGAAGATGGCAGCATAACTACAGATGCCTGTCTGGGAATAAATAGCTGGGTTTTGTGTTCCTCACAATAGCCTACTTCTGCCTTATTATAACTTTCTCTTGAGACAAGGCCATGTAGTAACATCTGCTCTTGAGCTGCATTGCACAGCTCAGAGACTGATGTCTGTGCTACTGCCTGTTTTCTGTGACTTGAAAGATTTTCATTGAGCCTTTAGAAGGTGCAGAGACCTGCTTGCTACAGTGCAAAACTGATAATTTTGACTACTGAACATCTGTCCTCGTCACACAAATAACCGTCCGTCTTTTTTTTTACTCATTAGACTCTGAAGTCAAGATACAGCTTAGGTGCATGTCTTCATAGCACAGGCTGCGAGAAGGGATTTTTTTCTCAACTACAAAGCCATTCCTAGCACCTCATATATTAGTGTAGGGAAAATGACATAAATGATTACCTGACAAGTCTTAGTCTAAGCTTTCATGATGCAGTTGTCTGTTTTAGACACTAATCCCCACCTAATTTTGTTTCACTGAGTTCCAGTGTTTATTTTGTTACAGGTGGTATATCCTGGTGTGATATGATAGCTGTGCATCAATTAAGTGATATATTTATATCATGAGGGTCACCTTTCTATGGAGGTGTGCAGTCAGCTCTATGCAGGCCCTACTGCATCTGCCACCCTCTCTTTATGTAAAACACTTCTAACTCTTTCCCTGTCTGTTGTCAACCAAGCCATAAGTAGTAGAAGTCTGTGTAATCTCTTTATCTGTTTTAGCAGTACAACTGATATCTGGGAGGTGTGCTATCACTGACAGCATAGCTTTTTGGTTATGATTTCTAGAGATATACCTGATGGTAAGCATACCCAAAAGTCTTGGTTAGCAGACATAAATAATTTCTTTCTTCAGATAAGAGGGTAATTGTGAAATACAGGGTCAGGATGTCATGATCTTTGTGTTTATCTGTTGGTTGCTTACAGATATTTAAGGATGGTTTTTCTGAATGACAGTGATTGTCAGAACTTGATGTGCACAAGAGAAATTTGTATACTGCTCACCCTCAGGCAGTGGGTGTCTGCTTTAATACCTTTTGTACATTGAAATAGGCCCTGAGGGTTTTGAGGTAAGCCAGTCTTATCATGTGGAGCATGCACAAATAACCCCTCAAGCATAAATCACTTTTGCTAAGAG